AAACATAACTAAAATCACAAGCCCAAGATTTCAAGCAGTAGGACGAGATTTATACAGAGTTTTAAAGCATCTCATCAATCACAGGCTTCATAGGCTGGCTGTCATTTTAACAGCTCTGCTCATACCAACGTTTTACAAAAAAGAAGTGGGAGTAACTCACTTTGGTTTCTGCTTATGATTTCACCCTGTGAAGAATTGATCATGCCCTTTGCATCAAAGGCAGACCTTCCTGTCAGGGTGCGCAGATCTGCCCACATCTTTGATTGACAACATATAACCTCGGCCAAAACATTTCCTTCAACCTTCACCATCCGAAACGTTTTATTGGGAGAGATTTTTCAAGGGCAAACACAGCCTGTGAGAAAGTACTGCTGAGAAAGACCAGTTTAAAGAAAAAGAACACAGCAAAAAAAAATGTTGTTATTGTGAGAGGAAAATGTCTGGTATGGGAAATAATGAAGAACATATGAGAGATATAGGAGTTTATTTTAACCTAAGACTAGAAAATACCTCAATTTGTGGTTGATATGAGACAATCTGGACAATTTTGAGCCCAATTTCCATCTCATAGATTTCAAAGGAGCAGGTCTTTAAGATTTTGAAGACCTGCTCGTTGAAGTGCTGACTCAATCTACATTTGAAGCTTGTTTTATATATTTTTACCTGCACAAAACAACCCAGACAACCCCTGTACAACAAGCTAAATGCGGTGATATTTTCTTTGAGGTACCAGCCAAGAAAAAATCCCCAGTTTTTCAAAATCTCATCTCCTTTCACTGCCACCAGCTGTGGGCGCACAATGAACCTGAGCTGAAACCTCTCAGGAAAAATCAGCAAGAGCTAATTCTGCCTCTGTATTGGACAACTCCATTAACCATAATCCCTTTTGGTGCAGCAAGAGGTGGATCCAACATCAGCTGCTATTGAGGGAGACTTAAGCTTTAGGTTGAGGGTTTGGAGGCCGGTGTCACGAGGGGAAAGGAAGTGGTTGGTGCATTTTTTAGAAGAGGTGGAGTGCAAGCTGGATGATGTGAGCGGTGAATGAGAGATGTGACATTGCACCTCAAAAAAGACCTTCCCTTATTCAGCCATGTGCATTTATGCACACTCATCCAGATTTTTGAGGAGTTTAAGTTTGGAAATTATGCATGAAATCATAATGTCAGATTAATAATCCAAAAGGTACTTTGAAGACGATTTGAAGCCTGGGGAGAAGAATTTGAAGACGAGAAATGAGGATAACGCACGGAGAGAAAACTTGAGTGCACATTTGTGCTCAGATGTGAGCCATGCCAAATGTTTGTGTGTCTTCATCCCCGAAATGTGGTTCATATAATGTATGTAAAGTTGTTTTAAGTCCAGATATCTGTTTCTGAAGAAACAAAGTTCAGCAGTTGATGCAATCATTGCTCAAGCGTTTGTTTATTTCTTTTCCCTAAACCCCACCAAAAACATGAAGATATAACAGAGCTTTGTGCAAAAAATCGTGTTTTTGCAGCTTCTGTCTCTCTGCACCACATGTTGCAACCGAGTGTTGTTATTTAGTTGAAATCAGACATCTGTCTCCTCGTTTAACTGAGCCAGTTTCGACAGTGAAAAGACAATTCATTAGTCGGTGATATATCATTATGTCTCCAGAACAACTGTAGTATTTATGTAATGCTGTAATTGTCAAATTTTCTGCATAAGCAGGCTTGTATTATTTAGTCTTGATGCCTGAGCGTAGTCCTCAGGAACTGGGACAGCTTGCCTATATTTAACTTTTTTTACGACAAATGGGTTCATCTGCTGAATCTTTGCCAGACAGATTCTCTACAAAGACTGAAAATGAGCTCACAAAAAAACTATCCACGCAGCTCTGATGTTGTAGAAGTTGGCAGATTAAAGCAGCAGGTAATTACATTGATGAACTGATATGTGAAAATAACTGACTTCACTGTTTCATTGACAAATGTGTCAGAAATAGAGTCTCTGTGGGGGGAGTTATATTGATAATCACATTTATTTCAGTCTTGGTAGTATAAACTGTCTTCTTTTTTAAGTTATGGCACATCACAACATCATTAAAAAATCATGGAAAATGTGTCAAGCTGGAATTTCTTGAGTAGTTAGTTTATTAATCTTGGTTGAGCTCTGATCAATTACTGTCTACACAGGGGTGAAAAACATCCAAAGAACTGGAGAGATAATCAATAAGATTTTGTTGATGTTGTCCTAAATCCCTACAAAAATGATCCCAGGATACTTTTCATATAGATTAGGTCAAGACCTTCTCTTTTCTATATTGTTAATCTCTTTCAAACCACTATTATTGAGCACCAAGGAAAACTGATCTTTAACAGGTAGAACTCTTGAGCAGAACCAGACTCATCGACAAACAGCTACTGTCTAGGGATGGGTGATAAATAATTGTTCATGATATATCGTCAGAAAAATCCTCCATGACACATATTAGCCATCTCATGATAAATACGATAAATGCAAGTTGATGATGTTTGTTTTCACATTTGAGACAGTTTGACGTTGTTAGTTTTCTCCATAACCTACCACTAAACTTGTGGTTAAGCATCTTATTTGACTACTTCAACTGGTGTTCTCAAGACAAATGAGTCAAAAATATAGATTGGAATATTCATATTTTTTATCAGGAGTTTTATCGTTATCGCCAGAACGGCAAATCTTCTCGTGATAAATTCTTTAGCCCATATTGCCCATCCCTACTACTGCCTCAGTCACATGGGCTCAGAAAGGAGAAGCATCAAGCTGCAGCCTTGGAGACAAGCCCCTCATGTGCAAATGATCCTCTGTGGTCAATATAAGTGGTGTCACACCTGGTCATGGAGCTACAGTCAGTGCAGACCCGCTGCTGGAGAGTCTAACAGCCCACTTTCACTTCACACTCAGAGGGTTTTGGACAGCACTCAATATGGTGAACCGTTCACATCAGCATGCCAACAGGGGCAGCGTGCAGGGGGAGGGTTTTAGGGGGCAGTTTTGGACAGGCTCATTGGTGTAGCTGTTCTGACATAACTCAGTGGTTCGAGGGCTGTCATTTTGAAGCCTCCAGTTTTCCATTTTTGTCATCTTTGATTTCGGAACGAGGAGTTACCATTTTTAGAAAAGAGTAGACACTTAAGAGGTTAATTCAAATGTCTGAAACAGCTGATTTGACAAAAAGCTGACAGCGAGCAGTGCTGCTCACCTGTCACTCAAAGTGTCCATACCTCAATAATGAATAAGGTAAAGTCCAAAAATGAGTCAGGGAGTGACTCTGAGTTTATTTTTAAATTTCCACCTGTGCAGATGTGATGATGGGGAAATCGTCATGGCAGATTTTGATACCGGGCTGATAACATGTTTTTCTCTGTGGTACAGTTTGCACAGTTCAAGATGTTATTTTTTTTAGAGTGACTCAGCTTCAGAGCCAGATTCAGGAGGCTTTTCGAAGTACTTCAGCTTGAAGCTTTACAGTTCTGACTACATTTTATTTTTCAACCCAGAGATTTGCCTCAAAGATTTCACTAAGTCAGAGTATTAAGGCCTCAAAAAGGAAGAAAAAGTAAGAGAAATGTAAAGATATTTCTTGAAAATAAAAATTTAAATCGATGAGAGTAAAGCTTTTCTATGAGGAGAAATAAACAGTAAATTTAACTAAGTACTGTACTTGTGATATCACCTAAATAAAGAGGTAGTATAATAAGAATGAAGCTGCACTTTTATATGGGGATATAAGAATAAATCATGACTGCTCTAGTGAGTTTACTAGTTTCTTTCTCATAATAAAATTTTAGCTTTTTTCAGTCATTAAGATGATGATGATGATTAATAATAATAATAATAATAATAACAAAAACAACAACAACAACAACAACAATAATATTATTATTATTATTATTATTATTATATTAACAACAACAATAATAATAATAAGACATTTCATTTTTGTTGCATTTTTCAAGATATTTAAAGACACATAAAAATCATAAAAGCACACATGAAACAATAAATTAATAACACCAATAAATCCCCTATTTCAAGTAAACTAATGACTGTCTTTGTAAGTTTATTCACATAATATCACAACTTCTTTCTAAATTCACTCCCATTTCTCTTGACTATTTAATTCCCATAAAAACACAACTTTTTTCTCTCAATTTCACGCCTTTATTTTTGTGATTCTGATTTTCTCCCTTCATTTTCGGCTCTAATCCTTCCTCATAGTTTACACATCCTGCAAACACAGAAATCATCAGCACTTGTTTACAGTCAAGGTTGTAGTGAGATAAAATATGTAACACCTATTCCACCTTTGAGCTTGAAGATTACACAGTTTCTATGTGGCCTTATTAAACTAGCATAAGTTTCAAAACACTTTTTAAAGCTGCAGAAATCATCAGACTTTATCCCATCCATACAGTATACAAAACATCAGGGTGGAAAATATCCTCCAATAATTCAGTACTTCTTGCAAAACTATCTGCATATTTCAGACATCCAGAAGAAGCTGTTTTAAATCAGCTATTTTGTTCCTACATCTTTTTCTACCTTATTTATTGTGTTCACTTTCTTCCTAGGATTGAATGATTGAACCCCGCAGACTGAATTTGAAGAGATTTACTGGCAGCTTTAGGTTTCAGACAGCAAACTTTAGTGCTAACATCAACAGGAAGTTTTCTTTTGAAGAGGAAATAGCTGCAGTTTCTCTCCTTCTGTCAGTGGAAAAATTGAGATCCCCACCTGTTCAGGGCAGATTTCCAGCTGTACTGTTGGTGGATGTTAAGACAAAATACTCCTTCTTGACTGTTTTGTTATGATTTGCTTTCTTTCATCAGTCCTACATGTCAAACACTCTGTTTCGACTTTAGAGGAAGCCTTTCAGTATATCAGCTATAACAAACATGGCGTTCGGTAGCGGCATACAGAGTCAGTGTGAGAAAAAAGCTCCACAATGAGTAAGAAGAGGGAAACCCATCGCCGCCTGATAACACGAGCCTTGTGAGCAGCTCCATTGTTGGCTTGAACAAAAAGGCTGTAATGATTTTTTGGTAGCATCCATACACAGCCCAGTCAGCGCCTGCTCCCCCTCCACACTCGACGAGCGACTTTATCTCCCGGCGAGCCAGAGAGCTGATTAAACATTTTCACCTGCGGCTCGGCCCTCGTCCGTTCAAAAAAAAGGCGAAAAGTCTGATCTCAGCAGACAGGAGGGTAATTGAAGTTTCACCTTAGTTTCATCCACAGTGAAGTTCACAGATTAATATAAAGGCAAAAGGGAGGTCAGTGTCCTTGGCAGCTTACAGTTTCACACTATTTTTGGACTGATTTTTATGGTTTTCACTTTTGACAACAAAAATTATGATGTGACGAAGACAACGATGTGTGTCTTTGTGAAGTCCTCGGAGAAGCAGTCCTGTTAAAATGAAAAAAAAAAGAACAACCACTTTCAGGGTGGCGAGTGGGTCCTCGACACATTTTAATGGGTCAACTACTTGTGAAAATGAAAAATGAAGAAATGCACCTGGGTCCTTCCTGCAGGGAGCCGTCCTCACCACACAACCTACTGAGTAAGGAGGCTGTTTCTCCTTTTACCACAGCAGTTTAAGAACTGGATTCTATGAATATTGTTCCTCCTTGAAATTTATATGAAAACTGTTTGAAAATAAGTCATTCTTATTTTTTACAATGCCACTATTATCCCAGAAGTTCAGGTTTTATAAACACGCGACATGTACAGGGGTGATGCACAAAAATATAGGCAGGGATGGGTATGGAGATAACAGCAGACACGGGTTTGTCCATAGGGGGCGCCAAAACTGGCACAAACTTCAGGTTCCTCACAGGAGTTATAACTATAAGGCCTAACCAATGCTCTCTTCACATGCAGGGGGGTCATTTCTGTCAGACAGACAGCACTTTGACGGGTCTGATCTGCACCTTTGTACATGCACAGGCTCTCTCTTCCTGTCTTCTCTTACCAACTTAAAATAAAGTTTATTTTCGTTGCTACATTAACATAAAACTAATCTACTTATAACAATGAAAGCCTTTTGCATCTTTCATATCTTTTTTTTGCAAGTTTTCTGTTAGATTAAACACTCTTGAATGTCTCTAGCCAATCTAATTCGGGTGTTAAAGCAATAAACAGAGTTCTCTCATGAGATCTGTGTGATATTAAATCACTCAGTTTAGAAATAACCAGAGTGAATCTTCCTGTACTGTTTGCTTCAAATAGGAAACCAGAATATCTAAAATACGAGTAAAAATAAATAAGTATCTGTATCAGTATCGGGACTGATATATGGCCCTCATTTCCTTTCTTTGAGGAAAGGCCCCTAAGTCCGACGCCCCAGCATTTGGACCTTGTAAAGTAGCACATATCAAGCTTTTTTCCTAGATTTGAATAACTAAAAGAGAAGGAAATTACCCCACTGTAACACAAGAATCAATAATCATGCTTCTGTAAAGCTTGTTGGATGTGTCTCGAATGCTGATTAGATTTCAGACGTTACTGCTGGTCTTTATGTCGATGCTAAAAACGCTCTCACACAGGCTGAACTAATCTTGGTCCTTTTATTATCTGTCAGGACTGGCTGATCACACTGTGGCTTCTGCAGCAGGAGAGCAGCATGACCTCCTCTATTTGAGAGGCCACTCTATACTAGGCCTGAACGATATATCGTTTGACATCGCAGAGCCTGCGATATTGGAGGTGAATGAACTCATTTAATTTCAAGGGTAACCGACTGAGATACACTCCATGTGACTCTGCATGTGCTGTGCAGCGATCCACCAATCGCCTTCGTCCTTAACTCAGTTGCCAATCAGACTCACTTCTCAGCTGCCAATCAGACTACCCTGCCAGCTGTCAATCAAAATCAGGGAGGAGAAAACCCACCCCTGCACATGTTCTGCACATGGAGGGAGACGTGTGTCCGCTGAGAATTACTTTCGGAACTTTACTCATGACTATTAAGCCCAACAAATAAGAACTGTATGGGTTTTAAATTGTACATTTCCGTGGACCACTCCACTATAAGCAGTGCGCGTTTTGCGAGGTGCATGCAATTCTCGGAGGACATGCGTTTCTCGGTACAGCACCGCTAACAACAACAACAACGATCGCAAAATGAACAACGAACAAGCGAAAACCACCGAAAATGAAGATTTGTTGCCAAAAAGAAAAGGAAAGTCAGTTATCTGGAATTATTTCGGTTAAAGAAGGATGATGTCGACCAAAACACGTCTTCTGTGTTCATCTGTTTCCACAATAACGTCCCAGCACAATAAAAGCTAAAAATATCTCTGAGACAGACAGAAGCCGTTCTACTAACATTCACAAAAAGAGGTAAGATCAGTGCAGATTAACTGTCCTCAAGATTTCAGCAGTGCAGCATAACATTAAGTGCTATTCAGGTCATCTGGTGAAAATACTGTATTTTTAATATCGCAATATATATCGCAGGGTTGAAAAAATCGCAATATTATTTTTTTCCAATATCGTGCAGCCTTACTCTATACCTTACTACTGTGCTGCAGAGAGCCTGAAAAAAAATACATTTTTCTTCATTGAAATCTTGGTGTGAGTAATGGGCTCCACCAGGACACATTATTTTCCTCCAAAGATAGAGCTGTCTTTGTTATTTCAGGTTTGATTCCTGTATTTGTGCCTTTGACCTTGCTAGTCTATGTAGGACAGAAAAAAAAGGTTTGAAGTCTTTACACCCTCACTCTTCTATGACCCAGAAAAAAAACAGTGTTGCAAAAGTTGTTTCGTAAATATCACATCTTCTCTGTTCTCTTCAAGTAAATTCTTTGAATGTGTTACTTTTTAGCCTCAAATTAAAGAGTGTTTCAATCGGCTCGGTTGTCAACTAGCCTGAGGCTAGTAGCCTGTTGTCACCTAGCTTCCTGGCTCAGAAGGTTTGGTTGAGCTAAGGTGTCGCTGTGAAATCTCTATGCGATTGACTGCGTATTTAAAATGAACAGCACTCCTCCCTGTGCTGTCCACTGATTCATGGCAGACAATTATGACTTGGGTAAGTTCAATAACTGTTGTGATAGTAGATTTGTACACATTGGGATATTGTTGGGTGGGTTACCGGTTCAAACCGAATATCTGTGTTATTATTATTTTTTTTTTATGGTCTGATTTTTAAAAAATATTTCCAATACTGGTGAGTGTGTAGCATACAAAACGTTGGGAACACAAAGTGGCAGAATGTTGTGTTGCTGGACAGTATTTGACAGGGGGCTGTTTTCAGTTGCACCAAACAAGCAGCAAACACGGTGAAAGTTCTGAAAGTGAGGTTAAATAATGGATCAGGAGAACTTGTACTGAAAAGAGGAGCCGTGTCTGTTGTTTGGAAGTTCTTCATTTTTAAAAAAATCCAACGTTGATCAAACAACAATATTCTGCAAATGTTGTCAGGCTAAAGTTGTAGCTGCTGGAGGCAACAGAAGCAATTTACTTCACCACCTCAGCCACAAGCATGTCTTGGAATATAAAGAATGCATGAAACTACGATCTGCGTCCTTCACGTCTGCAGGTAAAATCGGCACTGCGGGAGAAAAGTAGAGTCAGATGTCATTCAAAGATGCGTTTGCTAGGGAGACTTCCTAAAACAAGAAAACCAGACGATTGTGGACATTAATGTTTTTTCACTCCTCATGACAGTAAAATATGTCATTCAAAGCCAATTTACTGCAGTAATTATTCTCCAAGTTATTAGAAAATGAGATTAACACACAGTCGTGCTTTAAAGAAATTACTGTCAAATACATTGAAAGAGTTATAATTTTGAAAAATACCATGGTATAAATTTTTGATCATACCACCCAGCACTACATTGCGACTTCAAGAGACCTACCATCACTACACCATTACTTGTACACTGTACCCCTGACAAGATATAATTTTAGTGTCACAACACATCAGTGGAGGTGCAAGAGGGAAAGGAGCACCTCATGTACATTTAGACATGCACGTAAACACACACACAGGGCTGTTCTGCCCTACTGGCTCTGATGCCGCACATTGCCACCATCTGAGGGAGGGCAGCATTTCTCCGCCATTATTCTTGGTGTGTTTATGTTTTCAGATTTAAACTTTGTTTTGAAAGGACTTATGTCGAGCTTTTTCATCAGTAGTCATTTGTGGTGTTTACAGTCTGTTATTCTCCGTTTTTATTTATGTAGTTTGTAAGAGTCTGCCCCATGCATGAGGGATGCAAGAAAGAGGATGAATGCATGCACTCCAGCATCATCATTGTTTTAATTTCATCCTATTACTGTGACCCCATTTACTGTTTACTCTCAGCTGTTTCTGCTAATGCAAACTGAACATCACTGCTGCTGCGCCCCATTAAAAGCATTCAGCTAGTTACCCATGCAATCAAAAAGGCATCTCCTTAACAAGACACAATGTTCATTTTCATCCTTTTTCATTGAGAATTGAAACGCTGCACGGATTAGGCAGACACAGTGAGCTGTTAAATGAAGAGCTGCAGGCAGACTTTGCTGCTCCAACTTTTCAACACGCTTTTACCGAGCACGTTTGCTGTCAAGAGAACAACACAACTTTAAGCAGATGTCATGGTTGGGAGTTGTATTCCTGACACAGCTGCTGTGAAATAAAAAAAAATAAACGCTGTTATCAAAAGTTACTACAAATCAGCCAAACTGGAAGGACTGGAATATTTGACATTAATTTGACATTTCCGAAGTCTTTGGCTTGAATCTTGTCTGCAGCAGGTCTTTTGTGTAGACTTAACAAGCTCGTTATTTTCCACGGGTTTACTCAAGGTGCTCTGTTCCCTTTGCTTTCAAAATCACGGATAGTAACTTTGTTTAGCTCCTCTGCTTTGGCCCTGAAAGTTTCATTTACACCATCAACAGAGTGCCACTGTAAATCCTCAAATAGAAACCAAGCTTCTATTTGCTTTTACGAAATCTACCAGGCCTTAATAAGAAGCAGACTTGAACTAGAAGCAGGTCTCCTCCTGACCTCCTGTTAGAGCAGAAAACCAATTCCCTTCACTGATCTGTCGCCTGTTGGTGAATGCCCTGATGTTATAATGCTCTCTTTTCCAAATGTAAACAAGCACAGACAACCAATGGCATGTTGTCTAGCAGCAGTTAGATCTAGAAAACAGAGACGAAGTTGATTGTAGTTTGTGTCTAGTTAACTCAACACAATGCAAAACAAGCACATGCATGTGGGTGAGTGAAGGCTGGTGGTGCTAGCTCTGCTAATGTTAACCCCACTCTACAAATCAATGTCACATTGTTTACCTGCAGACCCTGCGATGGCATTTTTAGATGTGTTAAAGATGTGCTTAATTCTGGCTGTTTTCAAACCTTTAGACCAGTTAGTTAGCTAAATTACTGTTGAAATACCTGGGAAATCAGTTGCACAAGGACACCTCTGTCAGTTTCATTCTTATGCGCCAATGAAAATATTGGGCATGTGATTTATTTTCAACTTGGGACACTTTTTCAAAAGATTAAGCTATAAAAACCTGTTCACTAACGGGCTTTTATGTAACTTTCAACAAATGTTGAATGTCTTCCTGGTGGGCAGATTTTAATCGACTGCAAAAGAGATGTGGACAAAGAGGCATTCACACATGAAATAGCTGTAAAACTGAGGAAAAAACAAGACTTGGATTTTAAATGAAGTTGAAAAGTTTTCTGAAATGAAAATTAGCAACACAAAAATAACACTCCCATTCAAAAAGTCTTTCACACGGGTTGTTTGGTTCAGTTCGCTCTGCATCAGCGTGTGCCACCCGAAACATGTGATTCGTAATTTAATCAATCAATCAATCAATCAACTTTATTTCTATAGCACATTTTAAAATAACCACAAGGGTAGTCAAAGTGCTGTACATAAAACAAATAACACAAAGAGCAAGATAAAGTGAGCAGAAATACATTAATGCAAGGGGATAAATAAGTAAATAAATAAGCAGGCTCACGGCAGGTGCTAAAATGATAAAAAACAAAGTAACACTAAAAAGTATCAAAAGCCAAGGAGTAAAAGTGTGTCTTTAAAAGGGATTTAAAAACAGGAAATGAGGCTAAGACATTATTTTATAAAACAATAAAATATATATTTTAATGCAGAAATGATCCTTTTCGTTAATAAGTTCCGGGATATGCTGATCATTTCCTCTGGCTACCTCACCTCTGCTCCCAGCTCAGTCAATGTCAACCCCCTTCTCTGGCACATCTGCTGCAGCACCTTTCATCTCACCCCTTAATATCCACCGCTGATGCAAGGATCAAGCAGATGGCGTGTACACACTCACACTCGCACACAGACATGGATGAACACACAGGTACCTGGTACACAGACCCTTGTTTGTTTTCTCTTTTAAAAGGGTGGAAGTCAGCCGAAATGGTGAACTGGACAGTTAGTGTTGCAGGGTGAGATTAATCAGTACACAGAGAGGGGCTGCAGGTTACACAGGGGGATAAGGCCGTTTTGAATGCCTGATTAGGCTTGATGTGTGAAGTGATGCCTCTGCTCGGCCGTCTGTTTCCATTAGAAGTGGAGTGTACAAGACACCAGCAATAGTTCAAGGACGTTTGGGAGATGCAAGGTTTGCAGTTTGGGGAAAAATATATTTCTCTAGTGCAAAATGCAGACCAAGAAACTCACCTGAGTCCCTACTTTCACCCAAGGAACTATGATTTTAGTAACTGCCTTTATCTGTATGTTTGCTGCAAACTCTGCTCATGCATTGTGACAAATTGACGGAATTAGTAAATACTACAGATGTTGCATACTAACCTAAATGTTTGACCTCTAGAGCTTTGGTGTTAAGCTGCAGGGATTGTTTTGCTGACAAGGTTCAGATATTTCCGTGTCCCTATGGGAGACTTGTACCTTTGAATCAATACAGGATTATTCTAAAGGATATGTGGAAACATTTCCATCCCAATGGTCTGTTGAGGCCATCGCAATTGATTCTCTACCAACAACTTGGGTTGGGATGTTTCCAATCGATTTATTTTCAAGTCATTTTAATGGAAAATTAAAGTCCAACAAACCAAGACAGTCAAAATAGAGTGAACTTATTCAACATAACTCAACAATTCCCCTATCTATATACAGAGAGTCTACTGATTTTGTAAACCTGTCACACATTTGTATACATATCGGAAAGATATCATAATTGTATTTTTGTTGTTTGTTATGTTCAGTTCCTATATTTTGGGATTTGTTGCATGAGTCACATGACCACTGTTTCATTAGTACTTTTATTCCTGCATGTAGTTTAATATCCATGTCAATTATCTGGTGATTCGTATCTTTTAAAAAGGATCAAATGCATGAGTCTAACTTCGTGTACTCATAAAGTCTCTCCAGGATGGCTCACCCATGGTGCAAAGGAGGTCACTGCATGTTTTGATGGGTGTGTAACAAGGTGAAATGGCCTTCAGCAGATCTGACCAGAATGAACTCTGTTATTTGTGTTTCATTTTTACTTTCTTGGCCTCTCAACCACTATTAGAAGAACAAATGATGGGATATCTATTTGAAAAGTTGTTTCCATCGTTCTTATAAAGCTCAAATCTCAATGCCAAAGTTTATTGAAGCTGTTTTGGCCTGAAGCCTTACTTCAAGACAAATAGGAGTTATTTTTATCCTTTAATTTGTATTCTGTCTGTAATGAATAATGAAACGTTCTCCTAAAAGAAACAAACTGAATGTCACTGATATAGAAATGGATTATGATATCGATCCTGTCAGGGTAGTTCTAGAGGGGTATCTGAAATGTGTAGAGATATAGACACATATTTTAACTGCGGGTGGATAAACTCCAAGTTGTGTTAAATGAAAATCTAATATTCATGTCTGGCTACTTTTAAGATGTATGAATGTTTTTAGGAGAATATAGACCAATAGGGAGTTAATTTTTTTATGAAGCTGGGGACCATATCTGCTACAGCAAGCCAAAGCTTTAAAGATACAGCGTCTGCTCTCTTTGCATCTTTGCAGCCAAGTGATGCAGAGTAGGAGAAACCATTTGATGTCTTATTATAAAGACATTCAACCAACGTCATAAAGTGTAGATTTAATCATGTTTATAGAAGATCAATCATGATAAAGCATTTGGAATCAATTTCAAATGATAGTCAAAAGATCGCTAAAATCGTAGGAATAACATTGTTGACACCAAAACATCATCTGCTATATGACGCTTTCGGTAAAAGCCGAGAAGTGAGAGAACATTTGATGTGAAAGAAATACTTCAAATATAAAGCAAACAAAGAGTTAAAAAAATACACACAAAAATGTACAAAAAATGCAGACTAAAATGAAAATAACAAAAAAAAAAAAAAAATGTACAGATTAAAGGCGTGTTCGTGAAAAATTAAAAAACAAAACCTGGCACTTCCTTCACAGACATATGTGCGAGTATTGTGCGCACTCTTTAAGTCAGAACATATGCAACACAAAGCCCGGTTAAAGACACTGAATTGGGCGGCTGCTGCTGCTGCTAGTGTATGCAGATGGAGAGTGGGAGGAGAGTGATTTACTGTGAAGGGACAGAGATGGTGGTTGGGGTGCTGAGGAGGAGGAGGGGGGGAGTTGTAGAAAGCTGAACTGCTCTGTTAGAGCAAGTGTGCGGCTTTACTAACGCCATGCATTAATGTTGAATGGAGAAAAACATAATGAAATATATATCACAGCATGATTGCTTTTCATTTAGAGCATGTTTGAGTGTAAATCAACATTTCATATGTTTTTTTTAAGTGTCTTCAGTGCAGTTGTTTATTAGGGGTGGGTGATATTGTCTTTGATTTACGTGGCAGTATTTCATGGAATTTTGCTAAAGTGGTGTGTGTGATTCTATGGCGAAAATCAAAGCTATTATGTGCTTGAATATGTTCTAATTAATCCTACCTTGTATCATAAAGGTCATTTTGAACAGTTACAAATTAAACTCATATCTTCTTATTATTTTTTTCTGCTTTTCACCCCAAAGAAAGATCTGCTGTCACACCTTTTATAGCTGTATAAGCATGAGTTTGTATAATCTCATATGGGAATACAATGTTTCCCTCTTGCTTTTTCGCTTTGGCCAGGGAGTTGGGGGGTGGGGTGGTGTCGTAAGACATGGGCATGCATCACCCATTATGGCGTATACGTCATACAGGGTGGCGGGAGTTGAGCCAGCGCTATTTTCGAGGCTGGGAGAGATGCTTAAGCTAGCATTCACAAGAGAATTTGTGATGTGCACATCAGTGCGTACCATCTCCTTGAAGAACGCAGACATTTTCAATTGGGGTGCTTAACGTTCAGGAACAGTTCAGTGTTCCATGACCAGTTTATTTTATTGTTTTGTTAGCAGCAAACACAATGGAAAGGAGCCAGAACCCCAGGTTGTTAAAACCATCCTGCTTAAAACTGGATATGAGCGGCAATCGCTCGCGACCAGAATACCAGAGTCAGTGGTGCTGACATGCCACGCCTCTGAACGACACGCCACGGTATGTCAGCACGCGTGTATGTTGTGAGATTGAGAGAAGAGCAAGCGGAGAGCCCTGCTTGTCGCAGAGGAGAGGAGAGATACATTTTTTTTAAAGTAATGAATTGATTGCGAGCTTTAGAGTCTGAAATTGCGCAAATTATATTTTATGGACTGTTTTGATAAAAATATAAATTATACGTACATATTGATCTATGACTTCCATTTCTGGGTTGGGATCTCATTGGCGGGAGGGTATCCAGGGCGCCCTGCCAAATTCACTTTAGGGGAAACTCTGGAATAGATAAATAAAAACATTGAAATGAAGTATTGAATTGGGATAATGTAAGAAACTCACAGATATCACTCCTATCAGTTATTGAGTTATTTTTCATTATGGAGTGCTTCTGCAGCTCGGCCACACATCGTGCTTCCTTAACAATGCAACTTGCGTGCAGACGGAACCCTTTCACCGTTACTTCTGTCCAATTAGCAGAGCTAGCTTTATTCCCTGTGACATGCCGAGTACAGTAGGCGAAGGCATCCGAGGCAGCTCAAGGCAACTCTAAACTTACTTTGTTATGAAGTGAATCAGAGCTTACAGCTAACAGCAGACATCTGGCTCCTATTCTTTATTCTCTCTGATTCTTTTGTGCCTTTCTCTGCGGCTCCATCACCTCACCTCCATACTCCCAGTCGAAGTGCGTTTTTTACTCCATTATTTCAAACTGCATTTTTTCATATATTATCTCTCCTCCAAACAAGACCATCTCTTTGCTTCTCTGTTGATGGATTTTAATCAGACAGAAAAGTTCCTCTCCCATGAGCTGAAAAACTGTGGATCAGCTTGAATCTGTAAAAACTACAAATAGGTGTGAGTAAAGGCATAACCTTGCTTTCAAACTGTTTTAGCGCCGGTGCACACCTTGATGATGTAACACATGACCTCTAGGGTCCTCAAAGTCTCATGCCACCTTCACACAGTCCTTTCTCTCATCTTTGTTCTCTCTTTTTCATCACCTCTTTTCCCCCTTCGCTTATTACTTCATCCTGTTTTCCCCCATTTTCTGATGGACGCCTGGATGAACCGAAAAACCCCAGGCAGGCGAAGCTGCTCGACCGTGGAGCTGCTTGGCGGAGGACAGAAACTGCAAAGCTGCACTAATAACGTCCCCCTGAATATTTTAGACACAATTTATTTTTAATCCGCCGGCTGGAAATCAGAGTGATTCAGTTCCATATTGTGGCCCCTGTGGGTGTTTCGTTGCTCATACTTTTTTAATGACCACACTTCTGTCCGTCCAGAGGGAGCGGGCAAGCGAGTGAGCTGGGACTCGGTATAGAGGCCTATAACTCCGGAAGTAAGGACATGAGAAAACCAGCTGGGGGTTAGATTTCTGGATTAGATTGTGCCATTTAAAAATGAAACTGGTGCCACCTGTTACCCTAAAATGATTGATAACTCAAAACTGGACAAATTGTACTTGAAGAAAAGGGCACATATCCTCGCAGCAGCACTGTAGGTGGCAAAATATAGCTTTTCCAAGCTGGCGGTCTCTTGGAAACACAAAACAGGAAAGAAAACATATCAAATGTTAAATTAACTGTGACAGTCTTTGCTTTTTTTCACAGTAGCATGCATAATAGCAGGCTGGTTGAGTGGTTGAAGCTGAACAAACTCTGCAAAGACTGTAGCAGATTGCATCAAATTACATCAGAGACCGAGTTCAAGAGTATCTTAGTGGCCTTTAGAGCTGAACTGATCCGATGCATGGCATCATCCTGGGTTTAAATTCATCACCATGTTTTTTCTTTGCTCCTCGTAGCTCCTAAGAAGTTCTCACATAAGACTGAGAAGTATTTTTATATACATATACAGTAAAGAGGTATACCTGTTCTGCTGAGACAGCAGGTTGCAGCTGCCTTGCTTTAAGTGCATCAATCACTGCTGAGCTCGACAAAGCCTTTGCATTGTATTCGTTAAAATTTAATTGACTGAACACAAGTGCTTCTTGGCGTCTCTGCATGGCTGTTTTTGGCATCATACGTGACTCACGCCTCATTTACGACTCATTCTGATGGGCACCTTGAGTCATAGTTGCCTAACACCTTTTGATTGTGTTTCCTGTATTAAAGTCTGAGCTCGGTGTTTCATAATGGCCATTATCAAAGATTGTATTTCTAAATTGGGGCCGTGGGGACTTCCTCCCCCAGCAGGAGCAGCTCTGATGCTCTCCCAGGGGAAATGAAGGAATAAGCAATAGACAGATCGACAAAAGAGACTGAAGCATGGCTCAGGGATGGAATTAAATATTACAGCCTGCCGCTGAGAAAGCCGTAGCATGATTTCATTTCATTACAATGTGCATACACAAGCTTACAGTATGTGCTGTACATCGATTGTTTCACGATTACAGCAGGCATCAAAATTAAACTGATATAGTCTGTATTAAATGACCTTCTTAAGTGATGAGGGTCTCCAATCATACCAGCATTCCTCCTGTGACTAATCTGGGACATAAGTGAAGAGACACCCTTTTATAAGCTCATGAGAAGATTTATCAAGGATGGTGGGGGTAGTTGTCCTTCAGGAGTTACATGCCACATGATATATTATGAAGAAAATTATTGAAATTGACCCTGTAGAGATGCCACTTCTGATTATTGCCCCTCTGGGCATTTTTGATTGTCTTCTACCTTCTCAAAGAAAGTTAATGAGCACGAATGTTGTTAGGAAAGGTGGTTTGTTATTTTTCATTTGATTTGGTGTCTCCATTTAGATTCTAAATGAGTCTGAAAGACACAAAAGGACTTTTTCCTTTTTTTTTGCTCAGGTTAATGACTGCAAATTTCGAAGGTGTTTGAAAACAGCCTAAGATCAGGGCTTATCAATGTCTAACTTGATCAAATCTTCTTCTTTTTGGGGTTTATCAGAATTTCCCCCCCTTACCAACTTTAAAAAGAAAGAGTCATTCCCCTGAGATGAAAAAAAAAAGATCAAAAGAGGTCCCCAGAAACTCTTTTCCTGTTTTAACTTTCAAAGAAATACGTTAATTAATACATTAGTTGATAAAATAATATAATACAGCTCTTCCAATAATATTCCAACACTTTAAAAGTAACCAAACTTAGTTATCAATGGTATTAAAAACTAAAACAGCATGAGAGTACCCAATAAAATGCTCAAATTCGAGTTAATCTAAATTTATGATCTATGATGATTTAATCCTGTAATTTTTGCATTACAGGGATGCAAAAATCAAATTTGCATCCCTGTAAAGTATCTAATAAGTGTGGATGGAGATTAAAAGTTTTTAATTTTATGACTCTTGGAGAAAAAAAGAACTTAATCCAAACAAAAAATACTGATACAGAAAAGCAGAGATCTCAGGATTGAACCTTGGGGAACACCAAAAGTTAAAACCTTTGCTCATGATAGATTCTAGCTAAGAAATCGGTATTTGAAATGGATTTATTTTAACTATATTGCAGCTATGGTTTTGCAACTAAAATATTTAAATCCCTGCCATTATTTTAAAGCTCCTTTGCTAACATTTAACCAAATATATAACCTTTTCATTGGAACGAACAGAGGCATGTTTACCTTGTCTGAACGTTTTCAAATCATTTTTCAATAATTCTGATCAAATCAGCTCAGGACCAAGATTTAAAGGGGTTATGTCTTTAAAACCCAAAGCAGGTGAAAGCATCGTCCCTGTTGGAGAGTCATCCTTTTTTTTCTGGACTAAATTATTAACACAAAAATACAAAGGGTGCTCATTGTCTGGACTGCAATTTACAATATTAATGCCAGTAACCATTGATGCCCATCATTTGAAGATTTTTGGAGCTTTAATTGAATTCAGGAAGCAAATGTGTCAGCATAGACAGTGTCTGAAAAGGTAAATGTGTTCTGGCGCTGTGGTAATGCTACAGCAGGTACTAACTGCAGAAATTAAATGAGATGACAGATTTTTTTTTTTTAATTTTCTGTTTTTGTGGGCCTTAATTTAGTGTTTTAATGTGGCTAAATGGATCCTAATGGCCCAGAATTGATCACAATGATGATATTGTTGTAGCAAGTTCCACTTTCAAGTGATGATTCATTTATAGAGATTAATTACTATGCAAGATTATTGATTTATAAATATCCATGATAGGACTATTATTCTAAAAGAAGGTGTCATTTTACCAGCTTATTTATCAGAGTATCTTATTTTCAATTTTGTCAACAAAAAAGATTTTCACTCTGTGAGGTAAAATTCATGGGTTATATTTTGTCCGCTACTGCTCCAAAGAAAGAATGAGAAAAAACAATCCTAGCACTTTTTTAATAATGGTGACTGAATAATGCATTAGAGCGAATCCCACATGAAATTTGTGGAGGGCATGTCTTGGACTGCGAGTCGGTGGAGTGTATCTGCGTGTGTCTCTCTCTCTCTCTCTCTCTCTCACTGAGGGGTTTTGGTGCGGTTCCATATGAGGGCATCTTTTTCTTAGATGCTGCAGGCAATCTTTGTTCATTCAACTGCATAATGACAGAGTAAAGACAACAGGGGATCTATGGCCTGGAGGAGAGGAGAACACAAGAATTCAGAAACACAGATTTGATGATACCTCTCCCACATGGGTCGGGGTGTTTGGTTTTAGTGTTAGCTCGCAGGATAAAGACAAGGAGATACTAACAAGATATGATGTCTTTCTATGAGAGTGAGTCATTACCCTTCATGCTGGCGAGTTTGCCTGATAAAGTGAGTCAGACCGTACTGTGGAATTAACTATTTGTAGTTAGTAAAGCAGTTCGTTGTCTTATAGGGCTGGGCGATAAACCGAAAATTTACCGATTCCGAAATTTACGTCCATAACCGATGTCACTATTTGGTGTCAAAAAAGTAAATAAATAAAAGTTGGTTTTGGATGTGTGTAGGTAGTAGGTTACGGTCTCATGTCCCTTTAAGACGCTGTCCTACGTCAGAGACAAGACTCCACCCCATCCAGTCTGTGATGAAGAGGGAAAGACAGGTGAGGAGATGGAGGACGGTTCAAAAGTTGGAGCGGCTGGAGCAGCAGCTGAAGTAGACGAAGTAAATTTGGGAGGCAGCTTGTGGAGTGGTTATCTTCCATTTATTGTTATCAAGGTAAACTGCTCAATATATCATCATATTGCTTAAAGGCCATATTGCCCAGCCCTATTATGTTAGATCTAGTTTAACTTCATTTAATCCCACAAGCTACCTCAGCTACTAGCTCACTTTTTTCCCAGCAGTCCTGAAATTGATCTGTTCTTACCATTAGTTGGCTGGTTTAGTCAAATTCACATGATTGCAAGTAATTGCTTTAAATGAAGTTAAATTAGAGGTTAAAATTTTGGGGGGTTTTGGGGAGTGAGATAAACTGGGTTCCTACACAGCTGGAATTTCCATACTTTTCCATACCCTACTTTTTAAATTATTTTTGGAAATACCTACTTTTCTATTTTAGAAAACAGTATTTTTGAACTTTGGTAATAGTCTGGAAGCATTAAGTATTTTTCCGTACTTTATTTTTCATTTTTCATACCTTTTAAGACCTGGAAATTGATCAAACTATTTTTATCCATACTTGCGTAGGAACCCTGGATTAATCAACACAGTGTGGAAGCTCAGAGTTGCCAATAAAAAGGCCAACAATATCTGTGAGCTGAAACTGTCAAGTACAGTAAGGGTCACATACTGTTAAGGAGCTCTTAGTAGCTTTAGATGTCCATCTGTCTGTCGTCCGAGTTACAGCAGATGTCACGGACAAGCTGTGTGCAACTTAGCCAAGACGAAGCTTTACATGTTTATAATAGAGGACTGTAATATAGTGATGTTTAATTAAATGTGTTCAAAGCATCAAAACGTAAAATGTAAACTTTGCAAAATATGTGGCGCACACCACTTTCAGGCCTCTCTTTGTGCCTATGCTGTGTTTATAAAGGTGACACTTTCTGTTATTTCCGTCCCAGCTGGTTTATTCCTCTATAAATTCTCTGCTTGTTGTCATAGGGACTCTCAATTTAGAGAGCTGATGAAAAAATACTTTTGCTTTGAGTTACTCCGTAGTAATAAGGTCGTCTTTTCAGCAGTGGAACACGACAACCTTCCTATTGTCACTCTACACCACACAGTGAATGGAAATCGCATTTCCAGCTCTCTCTTTGAATATTACAGAGCACAACACTACATGACAATTTCCCATCCTGCAGTAGTTCTGTCTAAGTTAAATCACCAACAGTACTTGGATTTATGGTCAAATGTGGACATCATGCTTCAGAATAATGATTCAGATTTTTGGCCTATTCCTCGTTTTGATTTTTTTCGATGTAAATTATTACTGATGGGTGAAAGGGTTTGCAAAACTTAATCATTTTTGCCAGCATGTAGGTGTGACGCAGGTTTGTGTCAGAGCTCAGAAACAGTTGCCCAAGATAGAGAGAAGAAAAAAGTCTAATTCTGAGATAGATAGATAGAGGGGCCGGGCTCGATCAGGATTGAAGCGGTGGTAGGAGGTTGGCGTGAGTTCCCATTTAGAAACAGAAAACCGCTGAGGAGCACCTGTCGTTACAATCTGTCCACCTCCACAGTGCAGCTCTGTCAGCCTGCACAGGCAGTGGCTGCTTCTAATCTGCGGTTGTGTTGTCTGGTCAGAAATGTAGGTATTTCTACCTCTCTGCATCACATCACCTCTGCATTAAAAAAAAATCTCACTCTCACATCTCTGTCTCTGAAGAATCTATATCTGCTTTATTTTTTGTTGTAGAGTGCCGTGATATTGTTTCCAAATTCAGCATGTTCATCTTTCAAAAGACATGTTTCAAGACCAGTTATGGCACAGCTGCACATCGAAGGCTATCCTACCTCTTACGCTCCTTCAAATGCAGCAGAGAAATGTGCCCATCTGTGAAGCGGCTGCATCCTTGTTTCGAAGGCCAGAGCTGTTTAAACAAACAAAGGTCTGTTTCCTCGGTTAGTCACAAGGCTGGATAAATTTGGTGTCACTCTATTGTCATTGTGGTGAAAGGGGTCGATTCCTGTTCTCCATTCTGGCCAATCAATGAGTCATTTCCTTCTTCTTTGTCAGTGTTTGTACGAGACAACACTGATACAAACCTGGTGGGATCCAGATGATTTTGTTATTTGACTAAGTGAACCAACGACATGAAACTGCAGTCATGTTCATATTTCATCCCCCGACCATCATGTGTGAAAACGACCTGAGTTCCTTCCCTTCGGTTACCTAAATAGCACTAACCTTCACTTCCATTACTGCTCTCTCCCTCCTGCTCAGAGATTCATGAGCCAGCCCACTTGCCAAAATCTACAGGAGTCACTGTAATCACAGGAATTTGAGAACAATATGAGGATATTATGAATGCTTTAATGCAGCAATATCAGCGTATTATTGTGAAAACCAATAATTGCGACGGTTTGCTACATTGATGTTTTTCATTTTTGCTCCAGACAGCAAACAGGCTGCAGAGAAAATCACTTACAATAGGTTGTTTTCACTTGGAGCAAGGGGTGTCCCGATACAACTTTTTGACTTCAGATACGATACCGATATTGGAGCCTTCAATATTGACCTATATTGATATTGATCTGATATTGGCACAAAATTGTGCATGACAAGTTTTTCACTTAGCTGCAATGTCATTTTCGGACCTAAACAAAAAGTACTGCCACGAGGCCGACATCACTCCTACTCCTTGCTACTATGTTAGTACCTTAGTACACACTGTTGTTGTGATTTCGTCGGCTCAGCTTGTTGGATCAGGGCGCTGCTAGATAGAGGTGCCGGAGCGGAGTCTGGAATGGACTGCTTGTATTGGAGTGCTGATATTGGAGATTTTGGATGTAGGCCGATATCATTTGATGTTTTTTTTTTTTTTTTTTCTGATATCGTACTGATATCTGATATCAATATCGTGTAGGGACACCCCTACTGTTTGGATTAAAACCATTTTTATTAAAATTTCACTATAATTCTAATAATTTTAAACCTTATCTATTGCTCCTGCTTTCATTTTTTTTATTTATTTTTTGTTTGTTTTTATGCTGTTCTTTAAAAAAAAATATATGTTTTTATGTAAAACCCATTGAGTTGCCTTGGTATGAAATGCGCTATGTAAATAAAGATGCCTTGCCTTGTCTTGCCTATAACACGATTATTAAAAATTAGACTGTTTATTAAGAAGAGTAAGTTGCCAACAGTTACTTTAGCTCGTTTGCCAGGCAGCCACCTGTTGCCATGCAAAAGTACCAGTACTATATGACTCAAGGGCAAACAGGAAATCGATCGTGAGGCCAGACTACCTTAATGTAGTTCGGCCTCTGCAGCCTATAGAAGATGCATCATGTGAAGGCTGTACCCCGAACTGGGACACAGCTTTGAGTTTGTCCCACTTTTTCTTAATAATCAGAGGTATGACACTCTGTCAGGTTACATCTACTCCTATGTAGCATTTCCAAGGACAGGTTGGACGCACTGCACACAGTCATCCATCATAACTTCATATACAGCCGTCTCGTCCTGTGTGTTGTGTGTCCTCCTGATGTCTTTGGTTTTGTCTTTGTAAAAAGGTGGATGGCTCAAGTTTATCTGGAGCAATGAGCGTAAACATGATATTGATGGGAGTGGCCCCTGGCTCTTCTGGTTAATAGGTTCTGACATCTTGGCAAGGGTTTGATAGATCAGGTGGCCAAATAGAGGAAGGCTGCAGGCATGGGGAGCCTTATTACGGCCTGACAGAGGAACGTAGGGGCTGAGATCCATCACCCTCTGGGGAACTGCGTGCATGTGTGTTTGTAGATTTAGAGAGGGTGCTGTGTGAGGGGGACATCACTGGCAGGTGGAAATCTACTGAGTGCCAGGTTTCACACAAGGTGGGGGTGATTTGCCTTCTGGACTACCTTTAATATGCAGTGTGTGTGCTTGTATGTCTGTCACTGGGAAGCTTCAAAGTTGAACCCATTGGGAACCCAGCTCAAAGGTATTTCGCTTTATCTGTGTGGAGAGGAGATGGATATGAAAAATAGTAAGTCATCTGACAGTTTTTCCTGTGTGGCTTTCCTGGCATTTAATCTGCCAGTTCACTCTCTAAAATACGAAGGGATTAAATCTCACTATAAATGTACAAAATGGAGTACTTATACACTCCCCTTTCACAGAGAGAGATTGATTGTTGCTTCTTTAGTTCTTGTCTTGCTCTTGTTTACTCATGAATCCATACAAACAGACAGGTATTGTCAGTTCATAATAGCTCTGTGCAGAGAAATCACATGCTATCATTTCTGATAACCATTCAGGGATTCATTTATGTTATTTTAACTATATCTCTTGACTTGTGACAGAGATATAAAAAGTTTGTGAAAAACTGTCACCTTGTGTTGTTATGTAATGTTAGCACTGGTGCTCCAGGGTGATTGTGGCCCTTTTTCATCACTCTACATAAAGAAAAAGACAGCTCTGATTCTAGTGTTTGCAAGCAATCTACATGTGTGATATGTCAATGCAAACAGCTGCTGAGTCCTGAGGGATCAATATATGTAGTGTGATCAGGTTAAAGCAGTGCTACATTTGCCCCACACAAGAGGGACTAGTGTCTCACTGTCTTTTGCAAATTGTCCATCAGGATCACTTCAGATTGAAAGATAGATTAACGTCTGAATCCACTGTAAAATACTATGTAAAATTTTGAGGTTGGTTAACTTAATACAACATGTAAGCAGTCCCTTATTGAGACACGAGACATCAAGATTTTCATGAGGTTGGTTGACAGATGATGCAGAACTTAACTGTCACAAGAGTTTGTGCAACTGTCCAAATGAAAAAGACAAAACAGGCAAAAACCAAAATCTCTTGAATAGAACCTAAAAAGGCAGGTGTGAAAACCCACTTCGTCTGTTCCTCAGGCCTAAATCAGATATGTGGAAGCTGATGTCTACTATCCCACTCACTGTGGCCAAACATGCCGAAAAGTTCCCAGTGTCTGATGAATAAACCTAAAATAGGGCTGGGTGATATGGCCTCAAATCAATATTACGAAATATTGAGCCCTTCACTTCGGTAATGATAAACGGACGATAACGACTCCATAAGTTGCTCACCCCCTCCACATTAACCTTGTCTACTGGACCTGCCGCTCCAGTCACTTCAATTTTGAACCGTCCTCCATCTCCTCACCTGTCTTTCCCTCTTTGTTACGGACTGAATGGGGTGGAGTTATGTCTCTGACGTAGGACATGAGACCATAGCCTACTTACACACATCCAAAATCCAACTTTTATTTATTCGTTTTTTTGACACCGAATATACCAATGTGGGCAAAATTATGTCGGTTGTTGCCATAAATTTTGGTATCTGTATATTTTCGGTTTATCGCCCAGCCCTAACCTAAATGAATGTAAACTTACTGTGCAGAAGACACTTTTTCTTACTTCTTTATATTAAAATATTTGGCAGCCACTTCCAGCTTTTAGCACCCAGAGGTAAAGTTCCTTTTCCAAATTCAAGCATTGTTGTGCTGATCACCAAAAAATCATCATCAAAAAATGCCAAGGGTGAGCAAGGGAGGATTTCATTAAAAATTGATAACTATTAGGACTTTTACATACTACATCTTTAAATACACAACTCAAAACAAGATTAGGCTTTTAATAAATGTAAGAAAAGTCTTTTTTTTCAGTATATTTATCGGTCAAATTCTGTTGTTCTGTGCCTGGACAGTTAAGGTGTTCACTACCTGTCAAACCTTCACAATGACCCGACTAACTTGTAACTGAAAGAGTCAGTGACTTTCAGCACTCGAGCTCCTCTCACTGGGATTTCCACACGCTGTTGTCAGCTCAGCTGTGATCCACAGAACTTTACAAATGACTGTATTATTATCATAATTTGATTATTGAGTCATCCATAAAAGGCGTCTCAGCTGTCAACTTTTGTGTGCAGCGCATGATTAGGCTCGGTTTTGTTGACGGATCATAGTTTAAACTTGCAAAAGATCTGCTTTACTTCTGAACAGACACCCTCAGAATCCAAATGATTGTGTAGATCGTGAAATGTTTATCCATTTTTCCGATGGCCGGGGTTTCACAGTAGGAAAATAATGCAGTCTGTCCCAGGCTGAAGAACACAGCTGGACTCTGCTTGACATTAATAATTTAGTTACAGCCTCACTGTACATTTTCCACTCGATCATGTTTCTACTGTTGCTGCTACAATGGTCACCAAATTTTCAAAACTAGCAGCTTACAATAAAGACGGCCTACGTTAGTGCTGGCACCCACACCTTGTACTCCAAGACAAGGAAACAAGATAAAACTCCAGCAGGATGATTCCTTTGGCCTCCCATGCAGAGATAGAGCCAAAAACCTGGCACTGCTGACAGACTGCCCAGTGCTCTCAGCTGTTGAGTTGCATCTTTTCCAATACACAGGCACATGAACGACTTCACCAAGGTTTCTTGTGACGTTACAGATAGTGGCGTGGTCTTATGTGCAAAGTTTGTTTTTTAGGATGTTTAGTCTTTGGTTTTAGCAGTTAATGGATGTAAACAACCGAACTTTAAAATCTGTGCTGAAGCCCCAGCCAAAAAAATATGATGCCATCCCACTTTCCCAGCTAATAATCATCCTGCTGAACATCACACTGCCACATCCTGCCCCCAAACATCCCCACCCATGGGTAATTTTCACCCCCTAAACAGCATGTCCCTTTCACTTTGGGTGGTGTCATGGGGAGATTGCATGAGTATCCACCTGCATCATAGCCCTCTCTCAAAGGTCCATGCTGACAGGTGAGAAGATTTGCTTCCCCAGGCCCACAATTGGAGTCGGCAATGACACGCACATCAGTGGCTGTGAGTACGAGGATGAATTTAAGAGCTGGGAAAGAGTCACTGGCTAATTTTTTTAAACAGAATTTAAACATCCAAGTATTAGCTTTGTAAGTCGGACCTAAATTTCTTCATGTTTTTTGAAAAAGACTGACAGCTGAGAATTGCACCATCATCTTAACTGTATTTGTAGCATCTCAATTTGTCTTCAGTTTACCCAATTCACTGTTGTACTATGTAACAAAGATGTCCCACTGAGTACCGTAAGAATAGCTAATCCCTCTGGGAAACTCCAGGTGGTTGGTACCAGTATGCTGCTGGAGGGGCTGTCCCAGTGGGGCTGTTTTTCATCCTATGAAAAGCAGTTTATGAGTTTTTAATCTTCGGGGCTTTGGGAACCATCCCCAGTCTTTAATTTATGTTGTTTGTGCAATTTTTCTGTCTCATGCTCAGCTGTGTCGTTCACTTTGGCAAGTGTCTGCCAGAGCTAAGGGCATGATTTAATGGGTGGATCCATGCCGAACAAAATACATTTCTCACTTTTTTTTTTTTTTTCCATTTTGACAGTGATTTTACTGCCACTTGAAGGCTTTTGAATCATCACTGCCACATTGTATCTCTGCTGCACTGGAGGCAGCCATTACTAAAGAAGTAAAATATTGTTTCAGAGTTACAATTGACAGAATTTATTCCAAATAACAGGTAATCTAAAAAATTTAGGAAATACAAATTCAGTCAAATCCTGACTTTTTCAGGGATGTTAAGATTATCGTTCAAGTACCAAGGTTACTAACTGACAGTCTCATGTAGGGCTGGGCGATATGGCCTCAAATCAATATCACGGTCACCTCGATAACGATAAATGGACAATAACTACTCCACAAGCTGCTCACCCCCTCCCATATTAACTTCGTCAACTTCAGCCGCTCCAACTTTTGAACTGTCCTCAATCTTCTCACCTGTCTTTCCCTTTTTGTTATGGACTGGATGGGGTGGAGTCAAGTCTTCAATGTAGGACAGCGTCTTAAAGGGACATGAGACCATAGCCTACCTACACACATCCAAAACAAACTTTTATTTATTTATTTTTTTGACACCTAATATACTGATTTGGGCAAAATGACGTCTGTTATTGTCTTAGATTTGGGTATTTGTAAATTTTTGGTTTATCGCCCAGCCCTAATCTCATCTCTCCACTTTCTTTTAAACTTACACCAATAATACCAAGAGGTTTCCCAACAGGGGCAGATTGAGGTGGTGACACTAGGTGGCATGCCTGATCCATATGCCTTTCCATGAGGCCAAATTATTGTAATACATTCAGTTGTGTACGTATACTTCCTGTCAGCCCTACATAAGTCAGTGCTCCATTATGGCGATCCCAGTCAAACCAGTTGGGCTTTACTCCTGTAACCCATTCTGGTAACCTGCATAAACCTAGTAAAGATCATCTCTAGAGGTAGTGTGATGTATCAAACCATTTTATCCCGCAGCATCCAACTTGAGGAATGTTCTGTGGAAATACTCCAGGGTTGCACGCCAGCTTCCTCCCTGGATGGATTAGCTCCTCCTGAAGGAAAATCAATGGGCCTCCCTCTGAGGAGGTGTTTATTAGGGTGCAAACTGAGATGGGATCCCGGAGAGGAGGCTGTATAACTGGTCATCCATCCATGGAAACAGTGAAACCGTGTCAGTCCACCCTCACCTCCCCTGCCAAGTGCTGGCCTTCTGTTCTACCTCAGCTCATGAAGCCAAACCGGCCCATATGTCAGGAGCTCTCCTGGGACCGCGACACACTTCCACCTGGCTCCTCTATGCAAGAGAGAATACATACAAAATGGAAAACAATAGTGAACACAATAGAAAAACTGCATTTTAATGTTTAATGGATTCTTTAGTCATGTCCCCACAAAAAGTAGAGCGAAGTTCGAAGTATGATATGTGAATTTCGACACAAGAATACATGTTGTACACCAATTAAAACCACTTTGACAGTGCTGACCTTTGGGTTACAGGAGTGTCTCAAACAGCCCATTGGCTGTGTTTTACCAGCCCTTTTTAATTTAACTCTGCTTTGTGGGAGTATTAACTGCCCTACATAAAGAGGTATGGCTCATAGACGGATGTTAAACACCACGTAATGGTACAATTAATAATCCGTGCTGATTACAAATGGGCTGCACTTATGTAGCGCCCTGCTAGCCCTCGGCGAGGCGCTTTGATAATGACAAACTTGATAATGAAGTGCCTCAGAGGGGCGACAAATCAGCTTATTCAACACAATTATACATGACCAGAGGGCTGGGTGGTTGATCAGGTCTGATTTCAATTACAATGTGTGCTTCCTGTGATCATAAAATCAAGACACTTGAGATTGCTGCCTGCCCTGTCGTGCTGTCCACTCTGGCGCACAGTGTCGCACTGCCCTGTAAACACAGAGCTCACAGGTTAGCAACAAGGCTGTTAACTACTATCTGACTGTTTGCAATCTGGATAAGAGCTTCATAAATCTCTCTCACAGCAGCTCATCCTTACTTTACCTAAAAACTGGGGTCTAACAGGAAAAAGTCCGGGTGAAATCAGTGTGAGAAATGTGCCTGTGTGCATTCACACTCGCCTCCCACTTTACACACATTGTGAAGATTTTTCCGCATGTATGAGTTACAGCTTTGTGAGACTTGAAAACATAACTTTTATCTCAAGTATTCAACATATGTAGCACTTCACCTTTAAACTAATGCAGGTCGTATTTTAATCACAAGTACATAGAAATATTGATACTAGAAGGAGCCTTTGAAGACTCTGGTAGCCTTGTGTTTAAAAGTGCCTTTGCCGTCCAAACCCTCCATAATCTGAAGATCTACAGCGTCTTTCATAGGCTTTCTAGGAAAGAGGTGATAAAGCAGAACTCCACTTAGATATGCATCTGGTCCCCTCCCATCATTCTCAGACCTCCACACACTCAGCTGTCCATCAGCAGCACTATGAGCTTTTCCTCATGCATAGCTGAGAGGTAGTTTACCAATGTTAATAGCATTGCAATCTGCATGGGCAACATAAATCAGGGCTGGCCTGCAGGATGAAAGATTTAATCCTGTTGGTCTACAGTGGATGCGGGAGATCCATCTTCCCGGACGAGAGGTCCATTTCCCCTGACATCACTGACAATACCGGCTCCATCAGCATTCAGAGGCAGGTGGTGTGTGTCTCAGCGCGGAGATTTCCTTCACAGTCTCATTTCTAAACACTAAAGCTGGGGTTTTTTCATTCCTAAATGAAATCACTATTTAGACGGCAGCAAAGCGACATCTGTGACGGATATAAGCATCTCAGATCAAGAATATAGAATTAAGACATTTGCAATTCAAATCAGAGCGCTGCACATTTTAAATAGGAAGTGATGTTTTTGAATAAAAGGTGGATTCAAAACTGTATAGGGCAGAATTTTACAGCAAAATACTTCTTTGCACAGATGGCAACACACTGTGACACACCCCAAACAGCTGCTGCACAATTCGTCCTTCATCAGATGGGATATGAGGTTGTTTACGGATATCTTATCACAGTAATCGTTATTTTGAAACTTCCTTCGTCTATCCAGTCATGGTGGCATCAAGCTGGGTTTAAGTATACTTTGAAAAGTAGGGTATTAGACGTTATAGGAGCTCTTTATTCTTTACTGTACATATGGAAACATTGGACTGCACACGGACTGTAGAAAACATGTTCAACCAAATGTACAAATACACCAAAAATATGCAGAAAAGACGACTATCTTTGAGTTATTCAGATTGTGGTTGTTGTTCGATGTGAATGGGCTTCACATTCCTGTTTGAAGCATCAGCAGATGATAATGATTATGATGATGATTATGAAGATGAGGATGGAGTTCTACCTTAAAAAAGGGCCTCAGGAATTTTGCAGGAGTGCCTTTTAATTTGATCCTGAACATGTGAAGATTGAAATTACAGGGAAAAATGTCAAAATTATCATCTGAAGTAGCACCCAACTCCGCTAAAAGCCAGAGATCTTTAGTTGCTCTCTCAAGTTGGGCCTTTTTTTTCCCCAGGCTTTGAGGCTGCACATTCAAAGGAGGGAATCAGAGCGTGGGAGTAGTGTGGCTCAGGAGATGCACAGGTTGAGTCAAAGGAAATTTAGAAGTTTAAATTATGACTAGATGACTCGTCTAGACGTGAGAAAATGCTTTCAAAGTTGAGAGAAGCTATATTATATGGCTAAGTCTGCAGGTTAGCAACTGGTGCCTACATACTGGCATTTCAAGACATAATATTTACATCTGTGTTTTCCCTAGTCTGCAATTAGGGGTGTAATGGTGATCTGGAGTTGTTCTGCATCTGATCCTCTTTGGGTGGGACTGATAAGGGAGAAATGGGGGTAGGAAGGTAAAGGTGTGTGTGTGAGTATGTGTCCATGTGAAGCTCCTGCTGTTTTGACAAGCCTTCAATAATGACGCTATGGGATGTGTAATGACAAAGTTAAACTGACAGCCCTACATGGTGTAATGTTTAAGTACAAAGAGAGAATGATGGCGGAGGTCAGTTCTGGTGCTGTTGCACAATTGCAGTGTGTAAGAGGCCAGAGGGTGAAATTAGTTTGCTGCGTGTGGCTAACTCTAGCAGAGCTAGCACCACCTGTGTTACAGGGAAACATCCACATTCTTTTGCCGGTGTTGGTACATATGTGTTTAGGCGGCCCGATTGGCTTGGGGCCCAGTGACTATTGACGACTTCACGCTAAATGATTGGCTGGAAGTTGGTTCAGATCGGATGATGTAGAAGATTGTGGTTGGTCCAAAAATTATGGAAGCGGTTTTCGCTGGATTAGGTTTCATTCTTA